AGTCGGTGGGACTGTTACAGGGCTGCTGATAACATCATTAACACTGTGCCATTATAAAAAACTTCTTCCACCACAGATCGTACTTCTTACACTTCTCCCTTTCTGTCCATTGGCATAGCTCTTTGGTTACCATGGATATGTACATGCAGATGCTTCACTGGTTGCTGTTCTTCAGTGCAGTGAACTTCCAGGTCTCCTAACTAATGAATAGCTGCAAAGAGAACAGTCTGTACATGGTGAAAAACTATCTTTGCTGTCATGATTTACAAATACTAGACCTGGATGATTCTGGATAGTTAGTGGAGTTTGAAATGCAGGTTTTCATACAGATTATGTTAATAGCAGCAATAATAGTTCCATATCAGTGTTTAGAATGATATTAGAATTCTGCTGCTGTTTTTTTTTTTTTTGTGATACTCAGAATCTGAAATGTAATGTGAATCGTGCTGTGCAGCTTTACAGTCATGTCAAAAGTTGTCTCAGGTTTCTCTCCAGTACCCTTTGCTTCATTAGCTTAGAAAATGACCTTTGTAAGTGTCTCTGATTGCTCTGGGGGACTTTTTGCCCACTCATCTTTATGCGTTGCTTCTTTGACATTCTGCCATTCTCGTCATGCATGTCCCATCACAGAATTTAAAGTCTCAGCTTTTACTAGAATATTGCAATTTGAGTCTTTTTTTTTTCCAGCTATTATGTTGAAGAGTTTGTGCTGTACTTGGGATCATTGTCATGTTGAGTGATCCTACTGTGACTAAGCATTAACTGTGAGATGGACTGCCTCACATGTGAATACTTTGGTGTAGAGAGGAGTTCATGTTTGAGTCCTGTGGCTTCAAGAACAAGCTCCAATCATCACCCCTCCACCACTGTCCTTGACGGTTGGTATGAGGTGTAGTTCATTATGGCCACACATCTCCTGATAACCCTTCCAATGATGCCATACTTGTTCAGTCTTCTTCAGTTTGTCATTAACTTTATTTAACCTGCTAACTGATTCTTGATGAATCCCAAATGTAGATTTTGGGTTTTGTTTGGAGTTTTTCTGAGGCTTGGAAGTTCTGACCTCTGGGTGAATTTGCTGGAAAAGATGGAAAGACAAAAACTTCTCCTTTTATACAGATGCTTACGTTTGCTGATTACGTGAGTGATTAGCACTTGATTAGTATTGGGCTGGTTCTCAACCTCCTCCTTTTTCACAGGAGTGCATAGAGTAAACTGACTTTCTCACATGACTGCACATAAGATAACTTTCACTGAATGTCTACTTAATACCATGAAACAGATAAATGAGATCATTTGAAACTATCCAGCACTATAACATATACAGCAGGATAACCCTAAAGTAAGGATAAATTGTTGCCATGTATCCAATTGGACAAATCATAAAACAACTTCTCAGTCAGTGGTGTCACAGTCTACTCAGCTTTACTCTCACATTCTGCTTTTTCTCACACAAATAAGCAATCACAAGGGTAAAAGAGTTAAAACTTTTCATTTAAAACTTCATCATACACCAAAACTTTGTGTGAAAAAAAATTTCATTGACAAAAAGAACAAAAATAATTTTTTTAAGTCCACTTGCAAAACTGACTAAAATTGAAATAAAACTTTTAGAAAATATCTTCAGTTTGACTTTTTAAAATGTGTAAACCTAACAAATGGCCTGTAAATGGCCTGTATTTATGTAGCGCTTTAC